GTGTGTGTGTGTGTGTGTGTGTGTGTGTGTGTGTGTGTGTTTCTGTTTCTGCCACTCTACAGGATGGTCCATTGCAGAAAAGTGCAGAGTCTTCCTCAGGGTATGTCTGATTTTTATTAATTGATTTGTGTTTCCAGGAGATTCTGAAAGTCAAAAGATTCTGAAAGYCTTGATTTGCCTCAGAGCAAAAATAAGTATCAATGTTTACTTTTCCATAAGGTGCTTTTAGTTAAAGAAAAGTGTAATTAAGGGATTTTGACATTTTTCTTCGTTTTAATATTTATAGAAGCCCTTAACCAAGGATAAAGGTCATTCTCCTGAATTGAAAAGACTTCCAATTTTTTGAATTAATATTATAGACATTTTACATTGTCAGCTTTAAAAACAATCTTTTATTCAAATATATTTACAACCCGTTCTTCTCAGATCGCTTCCAGCTAATGATGATGACTCCCTGCAGCTTTCAACAAATGGAAAATTAGAAAAATCAAAGGCTCAGAAAAGAACTTCCATACTGAGACCTGAGAAGATTTCACATCCATTTCAACTGAGCATGCTCCAGGTAAAGAAAGTGAACTACTATCTTACTCAGCAATAGGTTGTATATTTACATCAAGCAAAGACATATTGTGTTTATAAAGACCAGTTGAATGAATAAGTTTTGTCCTTGACTCATTCATAGGTTTCCAGCAAAGGGGACAATATGGTAGAATGCCAGTTAGAAACCCACAGCAATAAGATGGTGACATTCAAGTTTGATATTGAAGAAGACGCTGCTGAAGATATTGCAGATTACATGGTACACATCTCATGTGTTGTAAATGTCTGCACTTGTACATAAATGCCAGTACATAATTTTTAACTGTCTTTTGATTTCACTTTTCAGGTGGAAGAGGACTTTGTTCTCGATACAGAAAAAGAGAAATTTGTTGAGGAGCTTAGAGCAATAGTAAAAAAAGCCCATGAAATTCTTCAGACTCATGCCCAGGTATATTGATATACAGCTGTCAATTTGCCATTCTGTATTTTGTTTGACTTCGAATATTAAAATTGTTCTTTTTTTTAATCCATCAGACTGGATCAGGTGATCAGTTAATTGTGAGCACTCCCACGAGCTCAGGTAAGTTTTTAATTGAACAAATATCTTTTTTCACAAAATGAAAAAAAAGAGATGTGCATTTTTCTAAGGTGTAGTGTACATCAATAACGTGTCTTTGTGGTTTTTTAGTAGACTCGGTGCCCCAGTCTTCTCCAGTGGGACGCTGGCGCTTCTTTATTAACCAGACCATACGTCACAGAGACTCCCTGTCCAGCCAGGGGACAGTCACACCCCCACCCACTGCAGAAGCAAGGATTCCACAATCTCCTCAACGGGATAAAGGTGAGCCCTGTAAGGAATGCTGCGACTCATTAATTTGACCAATTACAAAACACTAAGTTTATTTTTCCTTCACAGTTACAGAAGATAATGGATCCCAAAGTCTTGAGTCATTTTCTGCATTGGTTTCTTCCCCCCACACAACTCTTTCTTCTGCCTCATCTCCAGTCTCTACTCCCTCAGCCCCTGCTTCCACAGCTCTCCCAGTGTCTGCAGCCACTGGTTCTGAAACCATCTCTGGACTGTCCTCTGTCCCACTCATTGGCTTAAGCGGTCTTGAATTGCCAGTGTCCAGCTTTGCTTCTCCAGACCAGATTCCCTGTTTTCTTCCAACTGATTCAGTACCCTCTGTTGCAGACGCCCCCACATTGTCCACTGCTCCTGCGGTGTCTCCCTCACCTGCCCCCACACTTCCTGGTAACCTCACCACTCCTGTCACCAGTGCTTGCTCCACTGCAGCAGTCGCTCACTTTTCAGATTCTTTTCAGTCGCCTCCTTTGCTCGGAGTAATGACTTCTGCTTTGGAGCAGCAACAGACATTCACCCAAGTGGCCATTCCAGTCACTTCACAGTCACAGCAGACTCCAACAACTCAACTACAAGCAACACATTTTGAAAAAGAGATAAAGCAGACAGCACCCCAACATCAAGGTGAACAAGAACAAATGTTACTGCAGCACGAACAACCACCGCTACAGTTTCTGCAGCAGTTACAGCAACATCAACTAATGGAAAAACAAATGCCACTTCACCAACAATTGACTGAAGTGCAAATGCTGCCCATCYCCGGTAATACAGAGACATTACACCAGTCTGTGCCAGTACATCAATTTCTGCCACAGTTACCTGGGCAGCAGACACAGCCACAGCAACCATTGCCGTTTGGCCCACAGTTGCCGCAGCAGACTCAGTTTCAGCAGTCATCACAACAGGTTGTTGCACCTCTAGTTGATTTAGCGACTCAGCAGCAGGAGCAACTGCAACAACTAAATCTACMGCAAACAATACACTTACAACAACAGCAGCTGATGCAGCTCCAGCAACAGCAGCATCAGCTGCTAATGAGTGCTGCAGCTCAAAACCAGTTGTTGTCCTCATCTGTTAGCCAACAATTAGTTCATCAGCAGGCACAATTGAATGTCACCTCGATGCCACAACAGCAGATTCCACATCAAAACCAAGTTCCTGCTGAGCTGGTACAGTATATGCAGTCACCGAAAGTGTTGCAACACCCTGAACAACAACACGAGATGGCTAAAGCCATAGACACACAGCAGAAACAGCAGTTTTCTATGCAGAAGCAGTCATCTTTGCAGATGTCTGAGTCAGAGGTGTCTGCAGGTGAGACAAGTGTCACGGAAGACACCGGCAGCTTTTCGGCCACTTTTCATCCTTCATCTGACTCCTCTCTGCCACCTCTCCATCTTGCTTCTGCTGAAGCCCACTTACCCAACCTTTCCCTCACAATGACCCCATCCCCTGCTCAGCCATCCTCTGTGGCTGAGTCGGACAGCGAGGGCCCCCCCAAAATGGGATTTGTGGACAACCGTATAAAGACTTTAGATGAAAAGTTGAGGAACTTGTTGTATCAGGAGTACAGCAGCGGAGCCACACACACTGGAGCTTCCTCCGCACCTGTGTCAGCCACTTCCACATCAGCTGGGGGTGACGAATCATCTGAACCACAGTCACTCCAACACTCATCTTTTCACCCACCTGCTTCCTCCTCCGACACCTCCCCCCATTCCTCGTCTTCTACCACCCCCACCACCACGCCCCGTTCCTCTTCCACCTCTCCTGACCCAGAGAGGGGTGAAGTAGGGAAAGAAGCGTCGACAGACTTACCGAACCTTGTGCAGCTGAGCCCAGTGGAGCAGCAACCTGGTCCATCTCTCCCCTCCACTTCTGCTTCATCCACTCAGCGTTCTTCTCTCTTCCCACCCAGTCACGATAGCTGTGCTGGCCCCCAGTGCCCAAATGTATCAGGAGAACCTACTGTATTTGTGAGTAAAACCAAGGATGAGATTGTTTCGTGTGTTTTTCACTGCTCTAAACTGGCTTTATTTTACTGTTGAGCGTCTGTAAATGTAACTCCAGTTGATTCTCTTTAACTGTTTCTGATTAGTCGTGGTGTTTAAATGTTGACGTATCTCTCTACTTTTATGTCTTACATCCATTCAGACACTCCTAATTGTTCTAACTGTCCTAGGCTGAACCCTCACACTCTGACACCTGCACCACTGGAGAGGCATCATGGGCCCCCAATCAGCACCTGATCCCCCTTCATCAAGGACAGCAGCAGCACAATGCAGGAGGTGGATATTTTGGCCTAAACCTGACATGTCCTAGTATCAGAAATCCGGTTAGCAAGAAATCCTGGACTCGAAAATTCAAAAACTGGGCATGCAAACTGCGCCACTCCGCCAGCTTGTTCAAGAAACCCAGAGTCCCACAAGGTAGTGTCCTTAAGAGAGAGAGAGAATGGGGTATCGGGGCATGAATCCTAATTTTAATACTAATTTAAACCAAGTAAAAAAAATGTCTTAACCCTTCAGAGTTAAGCTTTAATGCTAATGGATGTCAATGTTTAAAACTATATAATCATATTAATTATAATATTTTACTAAATGGATTGTCAGTGTTGATGTCACTGCATACATTACTGTTTGTATTTTTGTTTTGTTTATATTTTAAAATTTTTTTTTTACAAAATTTCATTTTATTGACATAATTTTTGTTCTTTTTTTGCACGAGTTACTCAGAGGCCAGAACAGTAAAGAGTAGAGAAGGGTGGGAAATTGACTCATTGTAGGATGAGGTTTGCATCAGAAATCTGATGCTTTCCAAGTGCAGACGAGCTCTGGAGTAAAGCCCAGCTGTGATTTGTGCCCAGGATGTACTCCTTCATACGACACCCCTGTTCACTGCTCCATATCCCCAGGCACTACCAGCAGCACCACCTCACCTTCACGTCATTTCTCATATAAGATAGATGTTAAGAATGCATGTGTTCTTTCTGCTTGTACAGTGTAGCCTAATGAAACTTCAGTTTATGATATAGTGGATAGAACAATAATAKATATTTTACTTAGGCTTTAGTTAATAAATGTACATATATTTAAACTCTGGTAAAAATCTGAATATTTTAGTACAACCATAGATTTTCATAACTGGTTGTAAATAAACCTAATTCTGTTATTTTTAAATATTAAGATTTATGCTTTTCACATATATTTATTTGTATATATAGTGCATAGTTAACATTTGAAAAAGAATGAATCCAGTTTATTTACATTTTAGTGTCCCAATTTAAAAAACAGAATTGAATGTCTTGTATAAACTACCCAGAGCCCATAAGTTGTAGCCAGGCTTATAGAAAAGCTGACTTTGTCTAAGCCTTATTCAATGTCTAAGCTTTATTCAGTTTCAGTATACCACCCGTCTTGCATGTATTCATTTTATATGTGTTGCATGTGTTAGCATTAGCTTAGAACCACCGCTACAAGAGCACATGCAAGGTCACCTGTGTCATGTTCTCCACGACTAACAATGGACCATTATCTGTAAGTAATGCCTGTAACAGACTGCACGTCCTTTCATTTGTGTTTTTTAAAACCTCTACACTTGAATAACGCTGTGTTTTTCCATGTGCACACCTTACTAATGTTTAATCCTTAATACCAAACATTACTACAGATCTGGGCCCAGGTCTCTTAACGTATTRTTGGACTTGTTTTGTCTGTTTTATGATTGGGTCAGTGGTGAGTCAATGAGAATGAGTGTATTTTTAAGTAAAGTATACATGCTCATTTAAATTGCAGATGCAGAAGTATAAAGGAGGGTCTGAAGGACTGCCGCTGTGCACAAATTTTTCTAACACAGAGCTGTGCAGTCCTGTTACGTTTTTGTGTCTTGCAATTGCAATAAAACTCAGACGACCATTCGAACAGAGTACTTTTATTCCTGAATTATGTGTTTCTGACCTTGYTAAAGAAATATTTTTTAAAATAGTAACAACTACATTTTATTTAAAAAGTAACCTTTTACTCCTCCTCCTCACAAGACCATTAGATGTTACATGTTAAATCTTCTTTTTTCAGTTTGTTGTTTAATTTAGAGAATGATGACACATGCAAAACATACAGTGTGCAAGCAACAGTGAGGTGAATATGTTCTAGTGGGGGATTTTTAAAGTTGTGTTTTTGYGTCTGCGTCTGTCTATCTCTATATTGTGCATTTCTTTTTTGTTGTTGATTTTGTCTTTGTCGCCATTCATGTGCTTTTAGTAAATGTGTCTTATTGCCTTTGTGGTTTTTACCTTCCCTCTTTGGTTTTCATCCCCATCTCTATCAGGTGGACAGTCGATCAGTCAGCCGCTTGAAGATGATAAAAAGGAGACCTCGCTGAGTTTATCTCAGTCACACAAAGGGAGATTTCAGGTGAGAGWAAATATACTGATTTCATCAGGACTATTTATTTTAAATTCAGTCGTGCACYAAATGTTTCCAACATCTCTACTGTTAGGTGGCACCAGTGACCCAGACCTCTCCCCCAAAAGATGCACCATCAAGCCACGGTAGCACTCACAGGAAAGTGGGACGCTTCTCTGTAACCAAGACAGAGACGAAGAAGGAGGAAAGGCAGACTGACAGTTCACCTGTGTCTCCTGACCTGGAAAGAGGGAGAAGGAGATCTCAGGTGAAGGAAWGGGATAAAGAAGAAAGTAGGAGGACGCCGTCTGCGACCCACCTGCCTCGAGGACATGGACACAGCCACTCACCGCTGGGCAGCAGTGATGATGATGATGATGATCAGAGTGAGTTGGAGGATGAAGAGCTGAAAAAGGAACTACACAGACTCAGAGAAAAGTAAGTTCCCCGAGGGCGAACAATTACAAAATGTCTATCTTCATTGGTGTTTCTGGTTTACAGCRTGTTACAAATCAATCTGTCTGTAGGCACATCAGAGAGGTGGTTTCCCTTCAGGCCAAACAGAACCGAGAGCTTCAGGAACTTTACAGACAGCTTCGTTCTCTGAAAGACCAAAGACAGAGTCTGCCGGCCTCTTTGTGCCGAACCCCTCCTCTCCATGCAGCACCTGCTGTCCTCTCTCCTCGCAGGCCAAGGCCAGCCAAAACTAAGCTTCGGCCCAGACCTCACTCTCACATGGACAACAATGGAGTTACACGCTCTGGTTAGGCTGTAATCGATCCCCCTCCCCCACATTTTCATGTTCACAAAGCTTGGTCTCTGTGTAACATTGTGTTTAATTCTTCCTTTAGGGATTCAGCAAAGTAGTTTTTCAGGTGGTGAACAGGGTCGACTGTCAGCATTCTGCAACCYAGAGCTTCGTACTTCAGTGCCTACTAAAAAAGGTAGTTTTCTCATATAAGTGCCTTAAGATGACGCATATTTATTGGTTTAAAGGCGTTTTATGGATCAGTTCTTTTTTCTATAGATCACAGTCCCTCGAGGAAAAGCACATTCACAGACGAACTGCACAAGCTTGTTGATAATTGGGCGAAGGAGATGGTGGGCCCTGCTCCGACCAAGCCTTCTCTGAATCAAATCAAGCAGATTCAGCAGGTGCAGGGAGGCTGGAGCCAGTCCACGGAGGTAAAYGCTTTGCAGAAATTGACTACTCTACTTTACAAACTAGACATTGCYCCGGAGTACATATAAGTCGCATCAGTCAAAAAAATTGAAAACATAATTAAGTTGCACCTGACTATAAGTCACACTGGACTATAAGAAATTTATTCTGGAGTAACACAATAACACAGAACATGTCTTGGATGCCGACTAAACTTAATTAACATACCAGGCAAGTTACCGCTAAATTCACTAGTCTCGTTCCACATCACGTGATTGGCTTTCTTCATTGCAGTAAGAGTTCCTCACAAGTTTCTCATTTACTCCAAACGTTTTTTTTTCTGCAGTTTGCTATTTTGGGCAGCAAATTTCTTAAACAGGTACAGAACCAACATACAGTTTACCATAGTTGTCACAAGCGCAGAGTGTCCTCTCAGGGCTGCAGACGGTAATGTTTGAGCTAAKATTTAATGCATCAGTCAAAAAATGAGTCATGAAAAGGAAAAGAAACACAAGTTGTACATGACTAAATGTCAATGGACCAGCCAAACTAGAAAAAGGTGCAATTTTTAGTCTGAAAAATGCTGTAATTGCATGTTGAATATATTCTTGATTTTGTTGTTGTTCTTTTAAGCATTAAGTAAACCTTTAAGTTGATTCTTGTAACAAAAGTTTAGGAAAGAAAAAGTGAAAAAACAATCTAAATATATCTGATGTGTGACATTTGTTTGAAGAACCAAAGTATGGCTTTCCTTACGCATTTATTAATGTGATTACAGAGCGCGCCACCAGGTTGGTTTCCAGCAGCGCAGCTGAACCCCCAGGCACCTCCGGCCCCTGCAGGTTTGACAGTGGCAGCCTCCTCTCATTACACAGGGGGAGGGAACCTGACAACCCTCCCCTCCCCAGGACCCCCGCCTCCACAAACTCACATGGCCCAAGTGCCACAGATGCAGCAAAGTCTACACCTCCATCAGTCTGCCCCCCTCCAGCAGAAGCCCTATCAACAGTCYCCTTTGTGCCAGCAGCTGTCACACCCTCGGATGCAGACGCCCTTACATTCACAGACACAGCCCGCCATTCTGCTGCCCCAGTCAGCAACACAAAGCCAACTGCTGCTGCCTTCCCAAATGCCCTCATCGCCCGTGTCCACAGCTGTGTCTCTGCTGCAGGGCAGTGGCTCCSCTGGACCCACTGATAGCACTGCAGCTGTTGGAGCTGTGTTTTGCTCCCCGTCTTCTCCCTCAACTACCTGTTCCTCATCTTGCTCAACGGCTGCTCTACCTTCCAGTGCCAAAATTCACCCAGCACCCCCCACTTCTGCTCTTCCCCTGGGACAGAAATGAAGCCTGGTGAAATGTGAGGTCAAAATGAAGATGGACGTGCTGAGTGAGTGTTAGTTGTGGTAGTCGTGTGTGTTTGGGGAAATCGTGACTGGATTGAAGTTAAGGGTCCTGGCTTGCTTCGGAAGGAGATGGGGAAATGATTGTGAAAGACTAAAAATCCATTYAAGGATGTACAGACAGCAAAGTGGCTGGAGTTATGGATGTCTGGRTGTTGGGATGTATAAAGTCATTAATGTATGAGTGCGTATGACTGTGCGTTTGTGGAATATCTGATAACATATCACTTRGGTCCTTGGATGCAAACGGCCACTTCTGTTTCTGTTTGCAAACCAACTCTGCTGGACCCTGAAGTCTCCCGAAGCAGAGACAGGAAGGACCAAATCAAGCAGGTTCAGCAAGTGCAGTGAGGCTTGAGAATGGAAAACAGATTTCACTGTGCTAGGATTTTGYGTTTAAATTGCCAATGCTAACAGTGAAAGGACTATCAAATTTAAAAGTGCAATTAGTGATGGTCGTTTAAATTGACCAGCATGTATTGTATTGATTTGTCTAAAGGAAAAAAAAAGCTTCAAACATTTTTGCAGGGGCACATAATGATTATTAGACGTATAGAGGAATTTTTAAATCTTTTAAAACTTGAGACTTGCAGCACAACATAACACAGTGGCCAATAAAAAAAAAAGAATTAAACAGCACGTTACACGGTTGAGCATGATAAACTTATCTGGCTGCCCTTATTTCCAGAGTACAATGAAAGCCTTCTGCAGTGTTTCCAAATAGTACAGCATGTCTTTTGTACTGTTTTTTTTTTTTTTTTTTTTTTTTTGTGTTTGTTGGAGAAAACTGTCCAAATTAACATAAATTCATTACGTGAAGATCAACAAAAGGCAGCGTCTGTAGTTGGGTTGAACACTGTCAGCCCAAGACTGCATGACCTTATAACCAATCTGACTTTTCGGAGCGCAAACTGCATCTACCTGCTGTGAGTTCATCAGTCTTGTTGGGTATTCCCAGCCTAAAGATATAATCATTTCTGGGTAAATTTGCTTTCACGTTTGACATCTTTTGTTTTCAGTTTGAAACGCTGCATATCAAATTATCCTGCTGAAGTGGGAGATAAAAAAAAGGAAAAGAAAAAGAACTGCCATGTTATTTTTGGWCAGGGAAACCAAACTGCATAGGGTATTTCCATGTTGCCTTTATAATTCTTGCTTTGTTGTGGGTGTGTGGTTGTATGTTTTATGTAAGCTTTGAGTCTCACGGTATGTTTCATTAAGATTTGCATCCTTTTTCTTTTACTCAAAGCAGCCTCTCAGATGTCACTGTACTCAAGTAAAAATGTTTACTCTGCCTGTGTTCCAGGCTTTGCTTCCTTGTGTAACAAAAAAACAAAACAAAACCTGAGACGTTTGACCATAAAGGTTGTAAGTTTRATGTTTAGCACTGTTGTGAAGTTCTCCCATGTCAGCTGTAAGCTTTGTTTGGCATTTCTTGTTTATATTGGGAACTATTTAGTCWTTAACATCAGGCTTTTAGTGTGACTGCATCATTCAAAAGCTAAAATGTGGGCCATAGGTGTGTGTTCTGTGCACGTTACTAAAAATTTCATTTATGTCTAACCTTTATTTACACACAAAGATATGCATGATAATATATCTGCAGCTGATGTATTATCATCCAACGTGTTAGCTTTATTTTAAACTTAGCCATGCACATTTGACAGGTGATGGTTAGGCATTAATACATTTTCAGTGTAACAAGTGGCCTGTAGTCAAAGCAGCCTGTATGTTTTAATGGTTATAGAAAGAGTGTGTGGCTCATAACGCAGGAGATTGCACAGAATAAGAAAACAAAACTGYTAAACACGATGAGTCAAAGAGAAATTGAACACAACTGGTTTGGGACGGTTAGTTCATACTAAAAGGTGTGGTTGAGAAACTGCATAATGATTTTTAAAGTTTCCTTTTCATTTGTTGCTTTTCAACGCTTCCTACATTTTCAGAGACGTAGTTCATTAACAGTGAAGGTGAGATACTGTGTTGTCATGTCTGATACTAACGTGTTTAACAAGCTGTAGCTTGATGATCATATTTATGAAGCTGGCTTTGTCCTTTTTGAGTGTTACCAAAATGTGATTTAAAAGATAAAGATTATTTTTGTATTTTGGAATGGGGTTGTACAAATTGTAAAATTTTATTCTCATCACTATGAACCAGAGGTTATTTAAAAAAAGAGAAAACACCAATTTTCATCCTTGTTTACATGGGATTCYCTGTCCTTATGTATATATAGTACCTCAAGAGGTAAGGGCCTATTCTTATTGTATTTAGAAAAACAGTCATTTGTGTTATTTTATTTCAATTTTGAATGATGTCAATCTGGAGAATATATATATATATATATATATA